AAAGGATCTATAGGGGTTCCTTTAAGGGATCTATAAGGGCTCCTTTTGTAAGGGTTCCTGGGGTTTGGGGTTTAGGGCTTAGGGGTTTAGGGCTTAAGGTTTAGGGGTGGATTTGGGGGTTTGGGTTTCGGATTTATCATGTTCGACTCACTGTGATCAAAACAGCGGCTCGAGAGACCCGAACACAAAATGTGGCCGCGGCTGAGAGCTTTAAACATGTGGGTAGTTTTCAAAATTAGGTTCCCTTTTGGGGTACCCTAAATAATAGGTGCCGTATTACAATAAGGACCCAAAAAGGTGGTTTAGGGTTTAGGGTTCAATGGACTTCCTGCCTTTCAAGCGAGCCCTCTCACTCAAGGAACCCTAAATCCTACACCACCAAAGAACCCATCAAAAGAGCCCGTTAAAGGAGCCCTAACCCTGAAGCCCTGAAGAAAACCGAGAGCCCCAAACCCTAAACGGTGTAGAACCAATTGCGTTAAGGGCACCCTACCTCAACCCGTATAGAACCATTTCAAGGAGCCCTTTATTATAGCCTTTACAAAAGCCCTAAATCCTAAACCGTTGTAGAACCCTGAAGGGGGAACCCTTACAAAAGCAGCCCTAAACCCTAAACCCTGGTATTTTTGCCCTGCAAAGGAGCCCTTTTTAGGGGGCGCCCTAAAGCAGAAACGCTACCAGAATCCTTTCTAGGAGCCACCCTCAACCCCTATAGAGTCAGCCAAAGAAGCCCCTTTTTGGGATTAGGTTTGGGGATTAGTAATGATTAGGGTTTAGGGTTTAGGATTTAGGGGCCCTTCTACGGAGCCCTAAATCCAAAAAACAACAGCCTCCGCGACGGCGGCGGAGGTCTCCTTTCGAGTGGCCTTCGGGGGGGGCGATTGATTTTTGTTGGGTGTTATAAGGGTTTAGGGTTTAGGAGGTTTATAAGGGCTCTAGAGGCTCTAGAACAGTGTCTTTACAGGATGCGGTTATGCTCTCTCTACAAGGTTGTAGGACGGTTGCTTGAGAAATATTTCGACTTTTCTGGTATTGCTTCTGTATATTGGTCTTGCGGTGTTGAGGGTTTTGGACATTTAGGTTTTTGGGGCGCGCAGTAAGGTGTCCTAACCCTAACCCCTAAACCCTAAACCCCTAGACCCTAAACCCCTCAAACCTAAACCCTAAAGCGCAGTAAGGTGTCGGTTTAATGTTCTTCTTTGGGGGCTTGAAGAGGTTTGCTAGGAGAGGTCAGGATTCCGGGATTTCGAGGACTACGGGGGGCTTGGAGTTTCTCTTCAGGTTTTGGGGGTTTTAGGGTGTCCAGGTTTAGGATGTTTTGGGGTTTTGGGATTTTCGATGTTTAGGGGGTTCAGGGGCTTAGGGTTTAGGATGTTCTGGCGGTTTGGGGGTTTTGGGGGTTCAGGGGTTTAGGGGGTGTGGGGGTGCCGGGCTTGGAGGATAGGGCTTTCCTGCACAACGGTTTGCGGTGTGGTGCGCGGGCCTTTCTGGCTGCTAGGGTGTAGGTTGTAAGAGATTAGGGGCTTCAGTGTTTCGAGTCTCGTCTGAGGAGTCGTCGTTTGTAAATGCTGTGGCAGAAGATGTTACTGCCAGAAGTATGAGAACTCGGTTTTTGGAGCGACATGATTGCTATCCTCTCGTCACCATCATTGTTAATTACTACATTGAGGCCAAAAGCCGAACTCCTGCTCCGTGTAGGTCCCAAAAGTGTGGAAGTCTCTTCAGATTTGGGCTGTCCTTGCTTAGGGATGGTTTGGAGGATCCTCCTGCAAGCAGATTTGCACATCCGCATAGATGTCTCGATGCAGCCCGGCCTAGCTTGTGTGCACCTTAAACATTGTAGGGATCAGAGGAAGGACTGCTACAGATCGCAAGCGGCTGCACAGAAGTGAAGTCCCCACATCTTTTGCTTCCCTACACCCAAGACTCCAACGTGCTCAGAGTCGTCGAGGTGCTTTTCAGCGAGAGCTGTTGCCGTTGGCAATTGTGTGGAGTGGTAGTGGAAGTGGAAGTGGTAGTGG